TATCTTGTTCACAACTCTTCGGTCCTTTTAAAATTCTTCCACTCCTCACAGACCATCGCTTACTGATATATCACTCGATTCATCACTACAGCTGCTGCTGTTCACTCCATTATCTTCAATTATAATGCGTTCAATAGCGTCTTCGATCATGCCTTCTTCCTCATAACAAATTTGTTCTAATTTTTCCACATGCTGACGTACATTATCCCATTCCTCTTGCCAAATTTCTTCGAATCTCTGGCGACACAATTAATTTTAAATGTTGTGTTCTTGCTTGCAACCCACTGTGTTTACATCTGCCCAAATAAGTTCAGTGGGGTTTAAATCGGGATGGTACGGCGGAAGTCTCAGCACAGTACGTTCCTTGTCTGCTAAAATCTGATCATTCACATGATATTTGTACTTTGACTTATTTAATTTGATTAAATCGTACAGTGGAGCTTTCAACACGTCACAAAATGGGATGTTTCTTTCCAATATCCAGGCTTTCATTTCGTCCTTCTTTGATTAAGACGTCGGTGGTTTGTCTGTCTGAGTGTTGTGATACGAGGCGTTATCAATGACCAGAAAGGAGATTTCATGTTGTTAACACAGTACAGCCACAAGACAACAATTATCAGGCTTCTAGACTGCTCCACTGACACAGACTGTACTGACCGACGGAAACTCCTTCCTACCTTCACTGAGTGGTCCGCATACTGGGCACTCCCTACAAGGTCAGCGGCCATAATCGGTGGATCCAGTTCTACCAATGATTAGATGGGCATGTGGTCACAGGCGAGAGAGTGTAGATCGAATGGGCTGATCGTCTGTCCACTCAGGCCTGGAATGGCGCTAAGTCCCCTGTGAACGCTAGGCGCGTGGTTTCCAATGAAATATCCATCAATGCTGCTGGACCAGTTGGGAGCTTGTTTACGACATTTCAAACACCAGCACATTCTGTTGACACACTGTTGTATCACAATGAGGCGCACCGACACGGTTCAAAGCGCTTCGCTTTTTTTTTTTTGTATTTTTTTTAGAGCGTCAGACCTACATACATTACAAAGAAGTTAGACAGGACAGGCCTAAAGCATTTCTGGTCCATGTCAAGTCCATGACCTCGCATTCACTTAGCAAACTCACTGTCAATACACTTCTTGCGTGACCAAGTGACACCACTGTTCCTGGTGACAATACGAACGCCTCAACCCCACCGTTTTAGCACACATACAAGGAAATGAGAAATGCATTCCACAGTCTTAGTCTAAGATCCTGTAGACAGAAGACCACTTGGGAGATCGAAACGCATATGGGAGCACAATATTAAAATATATCATTCAATAAGCCTAGACCTATATTTTATTTATCTAACGATGCTGATAGTAGCCCAGACTACACAGCGTCGGATGACACGATTATTATTATTATTATTCATTATTCAGTGTTCTGTCTTACGACAGGTCCATTGCTCTGCCCAAAAAGAGCTCTCCAGTTTTCCCTATTCTCAGCTTCTCGTTTTAACTCCTGGAACGTCATCTTCTTTCCTTGTTTCAGATCGTCGGTTAGCTGTATCAGTCTTCTTCCCAGTCCTCGCTTTCCTTCAACCTGGCCTTCGATGATATCACTCATAATATGTCCCAGCCAGTTAGCTTTCCTTCGTGTAATCGCCTGCAGAATGTTTCTTTGCTCGTTGACTCTCCTCAATACTTCTTCGTTGGTCACTCGATCCGTCCACCTGATGTTCTCTATTCTCCTCCAACACCACATTTCAAAACTCTCCAGGTATTTCCGTTCCTTCTTCCTGAGTGTCCAAGTCTCTGCTCCATACAGCGCGACACTCCATACGTAACACTTCACGATTATTAACAAATAATTAATTGAAATGGAGATGAAAGAAGTAGATCGCGGCCTAATTAAGGTACCACGCCAACAGCTCTCTGAAGGGACTAAAGAAAACTACGGAAGATACTAGTCAGGATATCCAGCCAATGGTTCTCCAGAACACGAGTCAGGAGATCCAGCCACAAAAATGAATCGTTCGGTCCCTCTAAATTACTGACGCTAAATACAACCAGTACTTCAAAACGAATCACTGCAAAAGTCATATGAACGCCTATTAATTACTGTGGTGATTTAAATACAAGAAGTAGACTACATCTCGTTTGTTAATTTCTATCAATGTGAGGATATGACGTCTGAACTGTTCGGCGTATAAAATATCAACCAGATAAAATACACTTTCAAGCAGTTTAATACGGTCCTCAAAAAGTCCTTTAGTAATAAGACCCTATGTATGGTTTGTGGATGTGAATATAATCTGATCCTCACAGATATAATAATAATCAGGTGACTACTTAAAAAGGAAATATTTATCTACACATAAAAGAAGCGAAGATTTGGACATGAAAGGAAATTAATTTCTTAATTGTCACTTAGAAGAGCTATCAATTTCAAGCGCATACAGAACCACATTATAAAGTCAGAAGAGTAAGTCAGTGTGTGTATGGGGCAGGTTAGGTTATGGCCAAGGTTGTAAACATGTAACTAAAATGAACGCAGAACAAGAAACTTCCTTCAGTCTTCATAAGAACTAACACCGCGTTTAACACTCTCACACCACCACCTGTTTCGTTTCTGTTGCTTTGTTCGATATTTAAAACGATCATAAAAGTTTCCGAAGTCGTTTAAAATGTAAACCGTTTACGCCTTTAAAGCGAGGTGTAGATGTTCTCAGAGTTGGAATGGCTGCACACAAGTAACTGGTGTCATCACGTGAAGTCAAAAACAAAGTTCTCGGAAAGAAACAAGAATTGCGTGGCAAATAACGAAACGTTATTGAAAGAGGATGATGCGAGTGGGGCACGTGACATATGATAACTGCGCACATTTTAATCGGAAAACCTTAAACCACTTGAAAATATAATATTAACGTATAGGACTTGTAATCTGATAGAAGGTTATCAATTTATTAGGGTACCCTGATGATGGAGATAGCAAGGACCTTTGAAACTTTGGTAAACTTCTCCCTGACTACATGACTTTACAACCCAGAAGACAATAATGTTTAAAACGTCAATATATGGTGATTTTCTTCTGGGTAGTAACGCCTTGTAGACTTGTCGGTAAATGCCAAAGCTTAGGATGATTAAACTGTCTTAATTTTCAACATTAATGCTTTTCATCTTGAGTTTTATTGTGTCTTTACCAACAAGAATGTGGTATAACACTTAATGCTTTTCATCTTGAGTTTTATTGCGTCTTTACAAACAAGAATGTGGTATAACATTTAATGGTTATAGTATTAAAATATAGTATAGTAGTTTATTACGTGTGCATCGTATACGGGAGGTCGTGGGTTCAAATATCGGCCCCGAGACGCGGGAATTCTGACTGAGGATTTTCTCAGAATCTTAGATCATACCACGACCACTACCTTGCGAACCGCTGAAGTTCAAAGTCCAGAATGACCACCACGCCACTGCACCTCAACAAAATATTCAAGAAAATGAGAAAGGCTGTTATTTATTTTACCGCCGTTCTATACTGAGGCCTTTGACTTAAAACACAAAACACAGAAAATAGAAGAAAAGTCGAGGGGGGAAGGAGTGGTGAACTGGACTTTTAGTACCGCATTTGTTACTGTGCCCCCCCCCCCCCTCACTACGGGCTCAAAGAAATGTCTGTACAGTAACCTTCATCTTAGATAAAACAGACTTACACAAACATAATTATTTTAGAACCTTTTTCGGACCCAACGTTTTGGAAACTTTCTGTTCCCGTCACCCCTCGATCCAACAAATATTTATAACAAATTATGAAGGCAGGAGCAAAAATATCCTCTCCTACGGAACTTTAGAACAAACAATTGATTTTCTAATTATTGTTACAGTTTCACGGCACTGATAAAAAATTTGCTGACAGAAACCAAGAAACTCAAAAATTGTAACTTATTTTATTTATTCATCTCACCAGTCTGTATCTTCAACCTTGGAATAGGATGTCTCCTGTAATCTACATATAGACATTGGCACGAATCTCTATAAAGATCAGTTTGTTATGGGACGTACGCGGCATAAACTCCACACTTTATCGACCCCTGTTTCATATTGAAGAAACTCCTCTCCTGCAAAGTGTTTTATTTTTTTTTTGTACTTAACATAGGCCCTAATATCAATGTAAACTAATAAACAAATGTGTAATAAAACGACACCTCGTAAGACATTAGTAAGCAAGGTTAGGTTGATGAATACGAACTCACAAAATCTCACCTGCAAGCGAAATTGCGCACATCAGGGGCAATAGAATTTCAGGCGATAAAATTTCCTTGTTTAAAATTCGCAAAACGCCATTAATGCTGGGCGGTATAAAAAAAAATCACATAACTTTTCCACTGGAATAACGTTGCTATATGACACTTCCTTTCGCCACGCTTTGTAACTGCAAATTGTTTTTAACAAGAAAAAAGGAAGACAATATTTAACATCTAACAAACTGACTGAATGACTGACTCGTGACGAAAGAAAAACCTTCATAAGAATTTATGTTGTACACTGACCATTGTCTGAGGTACATCTAATACATGCGACGTTTCGGCAGTTACCTTTTCCGAGTCTTCAGGTGATTCGTTATCATTATACTTACAATTTCTCTTGTGGCTTAAATTGTTAGTAATAAAGGTCGGGGTCAATCCCAGGACCTTCTGAATACTAAACTAGTAAGCTGCGCACTAAGTTACATGTGTTAATAAATTAGCCAACATTCAAAACGTCCTGGGTGAATAATGAATTGGTAAGGATATAGAATGAAGCAGCATTGACACATTGTGAGGTGCTACCCAAGAATTTGCCTCGAAATATTTAGGGATGTCACAAATGCCTCAGCGAAGACAATCTTCCGCATCGTGAATCGAACTCAGAAGCTACCGAATATGAAACAAGAATGTTAACCACTCAACAGCGATTAACAGTTCTGAAGATGGGCCAAGAAATTTAAATGTAATAGTTTATTCAGTTATTTCGTCACAATTGTTGACTTACTCTTCTCCCAGCTTCATTATTATGTAAATTCATGAGACCATCAGCAGTGTCTCGATTCTCGTGAGAGTCTACAAAGTCTCTGCTAAATTTCTCACCAAAATGAATGTCCTGAAAATATAAGAATCACCATAAAAATACAATTCTGCAGCCTTCGTTTCGAGGCTAACACCCACTAGGAACTAGTTCTGGTATCAGAAACCTGAAGGTTCAGTACTGCTAATACCAAAACCGTACGATGATAAAGATACTCTGATCCAATTCAATTCACGATCATCTCCATAACCTGTCTCCCTAACACTCATCTTATTGTTACGAGTCCTTTCTCATCTGCTTGTTCTTGCAAGTGACAATTTTCAAAGAGGTTGCCTAATCAATATTCTGTATGCATTAATTATCTACTCGTCCCATCGTAGAATAGAATGTCACTATCCTAACAACAGCCTCTTGGTACACATCACGAAATCCTCGTCATGTAATATCCCAAATTTCGTACTTAAACTTTATCTTACTTTGATCAAAATATAATGCGTTGTGTAAGTTACTTCACTTCCTATCGTGCATCGGGATCTCCTTCCCTGCCTCAAACAACGGGTGTCGGGAACATCCCCACCCGCGGTGTTACAAATGTTTTGTGTTGCCTATGTGGCCCCTATTCGCCTGCACGATGTGGTGCTCAGAAGCAGAGGTAACATTCAATTTTTACAAATTGCATTTCATGTTTTGAAAGCGGCGTGAAGTAGGTACGCGCTCTGCTAATGAGGTAAATTGTTCTTTTTTAACCCTTCAAAGCCGAGTGGTAACTAATTACATGTACCAACGGCTGTAACAATTAGTAACTCTTTATTTTGTATGATTTTCACCGTCAATGTAAACAGGAATTACTTTCATAAAAACAACATTGACCAGTTTATTTTTATGATGGGGAGGTATTGTATTTTCTGCGTTTTTTGAACACTGTTTATACCGACTTCGACTTCAAAGTATTGGTATTAACGCCTAGTCCACGAAGTTGATATGCATTGTTAGGGACAACAAACTACAATTTTAGCTAATAAACTTAGTTTTCCATTTCAAAATAAGAATTTATAAAATCAAACGAATACTGATTAAATGATGTCATTAATAACTGGAACGTTGGAAAAGACAACTTCGATAAATTTTCTGCTTTAAACAATCTGCCAAAAGAAGAAAAGATACGGAAAGTGCGCTATAGTTTTATTTTATAAATATCTATTTTGTTTTGATTGTCATTTATTTTTAATCTAGTGTTGCAAAAACACGCTAAAGAAGCACTAAATTATTTTTAATTGTATCTCGTTAAATATTTACTCGTTAAGTATATATCATGTGAGTTCGATGTAATCAGACAGATTCAATGCCCTTACATATTTTTTCTACGAAAAGTAGCGTTTTGGGGTTTCATAGAGGTTATATTTGTACGATATGAACCAAAATTCAACTCGTTCTATACCATTCCCCAATACCAAATTCTATCTAAATCCATAAAGTACTTTCTGAAACAAAACATGCAGGCAAATTTACAGATACGATCTCATTATGTATTAATTTCGTGGACAGTAAGTTTCAAACATCTCTCAATCACTTACTTCGGAACAACCGCCCCACTGCCATTTTCCTTTGGGTTTGCGACTGCGCACTCTGCTGTCACAGCTGCATTCGTTTAGCTCTCCACGAGAACACGCACGCGTCACTGTGTACGCTATCCCAGCTGCTGACACTGCATGGACGTAAGCAGCTTCTCGACTCTCTACAACACAGCCACGGATGTCTGTCTCCACTGAGACCATTATCACGAAACCTATACTAAAGCACCAGAAACATTATGGTAGTCACGTGATAAGCAGGTGGCCACGCGCGGAAACCTGGTTGCATAGTCTTGCCGTGACGGACCTGCTTTGTGGTACTACCATCATGTTCGAACAACGTAACGCGTGTTTCAGTGCAAAGGTGTGACTGTCCAGAACTTGAGAGCGACAATCAAATCCTTGTGTTGGGGTGGGATTTTTATTTCTTTTTGCACACTAACTATTGATGCATGCAGTTTTAGTTTCCTGCCTTCATTTGTTACAAACTGCAGTGTTTACCACAAATTCTTTCTGACATGTACACACCAACGGACACAAACTACGCTACGTGTGAAATATGGCAGGATTTGCATAACAATGCGCCAGTAATCATTCTTACCCTTGTTTATATATGTAGACTACAAAACTGCCTGTCAAGGACGCTGGGAAAACCTGAAGTTGTACTCACGTACTTATAAAACACATTTTTATTCAAAAATCTAATAACACTAGCCGATCACACACGTACAGTTCCGCAGCATTAATATTGTTTTTCATACACAACTTTCGAATCATTTAACAGACATTTGAGGTTGTCACAATGTCCATATGTTTCAAAACGTATCGTAGTCTATACATTGCACCCATTGATGAGTTTGAATCTATGCTGTTTCACCAACAATCACTACTGAGAAAAGAAAATATTTAAAACACGTATTTCGGTGAAACTTGTGTAAAATACACCCAAGATCGCAATTTTATAGTTTGTTTTGTAAATAAGATTATTACTAAGAAGATGTGTAGGCAAAAGTATATGGAGACGGCTATCTTCTGGGTTGTTGCGCCGTGTAATCTGATAGAATTTTACCGACGTTTCAGAGGTCCTTACTGTCTCCATCAACAGGGCGATGATGCTCTTCTCCCTGATGATGGAGGCAGCAAGACCCTCTGAATCGTCGGTAAACTTCTACCAGACTACACGGCGCAACAACCCAGAAGACAGCCATCTTCATTTGAACCAATAGCTTTAAATATTGACAAAATGTCTAACTTCGCTGCTATATTTATTTCTTCGATATGAGCCATGTTAGGAGCGTGAGGATTTTAGTAAGTTGTGTCGTACATCACAGAGACCGCAGATCTGCGTAGTGATCATAAAAGTGTTAAAGCATGAAAATGAGGATATGGAGGGAGATTAGAAACTTGTAGAATAAATAAATGGAAAACATGAGAACCGAGAAGATGAAAGAAAATGGTTGACTTACTGACAGACAGGACTCCTCCGAAGATCGTAGTCGTATTGCCAAATGTGCTGCAGTTCCAGCGACTCATACGGAACTGGTACTGACACTCGTCAATGGCCATCTTTGCTCCGATACCTAAACTCTGCAAGTACAATAGACACTCTACAGTGTAATACAAATCAATAACTAAATTCTGACAAAGTATTTTCTTGAATAGCAGACAGAGCCAGTCAAGTAGGGTAATTTAGGGATATCTCGACACCTCAAGAAAAAACTCTAGGCTTCAGGAATATTTTTTGAAAATTAAAAACAGAAATTTTCATATATTATCCATGGAGATATGTTTTATTTGTACTACAATAATAAAGCAGGTAAGTTTAAGGGAAACAGTGCAATTAACAAAAAAAAGAAATAGAAGCAAAATGTCGACTACAATACACATGTCACTACAATACACATGTCACCACTGGTCACAGTTGAAGTTTTTGTCAGTTCACATAGCATGGCTGTCCTTTAGAAAGTGCGAGTTGTCACCACAATAACTATTAATCCATAAATTCCATGTGCATCCAGTGTAATTATCATTATCTGGAATGTAATTATTATAGCATGTGCTATTTAGGGTATGTAAAACTCACCTGGTCGTCTTTGAGGGTTCCGTACGAGGTTGAGACTTGCAAAAACAGACTCCTTTGAAGTTGCACGTTGATCGCAGTATGGTAGGCTATCTTCTGTACAATTACAGTCTTTGCCACTACAGTGCAGCTGTCGCTAGAGTGAAATTTGTTAAAAGTGTCGAGATCTCCCAGATGTCGAGATCTCCCTAAATTACTATAAGGCAATTAAAATTTTGAAAATTCATATCACATTCATTTAAAAGAAAATTATAAAACTTTAAAAATTAAAAATGTCTCCAACAATTTCAAAAAAAAAAAGCTCTCAGAAATATTATTTATGTGTCAAGGTTCGTATAACAATAATGTCTCTCTCTCTCTCTCTCTCTCTCACGCACACACACGCAAATGCCCACAAAAGATCTTGTTTGGTGACAAAATCACACTGTCATGTCAACTACGTCAGCTTTTCCTTTCATAAGTCCAGGTTCTATTTAGGCATGTTCAGCAGAACTGTGAGAATACTCGAAGTGTTCAATAAACCAAAATGCTCCCCCCCCCTCCTTGTGATTATTTACTAACCTTGGAAGCGAGTTCAGTCCATCTTACGGTTGGCCGGTCAGGTCTGTCATTTGTGCAAGTTTTATGCCTGATCGTTAAAGTCAGCATAGCGAAACAATGAAAATCCTTTAAAATGACTCAGCGGATAAAAGGGCATAACTGCACACCTCCAATTCGGCCCACCACTAACATCACTTAAGCAGTTCGTATTAAACATGACGTGCTGTAACGTAACGAAACACTACCTTGCGGAAGGCTCATTTTAAGCACAATCCCGTCCAAAAACAGTTATATTCACCTCAGCAACAAATTTATTGCAAGGTATAACCACATCTGTCCTGTTCTAAATGTCGCTAGTCCAACGTAGTAAGTTAAACATTTATGAGATAGTATAGTTGCGTCATATTGTGATATTAATTAAAATAATTATTATATATTTGTTTACCGTCAAATCACAATAAAATAGTTCTTTTTTTTATTATTAGTGTTCTGTCTGACGACAGGTCCATATGAACAGGATCCTTCCATCCTTTTCTCGGACTGGGACCTGTTCATATACGTTCTTGGCAGATGATCCAGAAGTGGTTTGCCATTGCCTTCTGCTGTGTGTGAATGGAGTAATTGTTGGGACGCCACGGAGGAAAACTCCGT